ACACAGGGTAACAGAAACAGAATAAATGCATCCATGCCCTAGGTGGGATTCGAAACCACGATCCCAGCGTTCGATCGAGCGAAGACACTTCATGTCTTAGACCACGCGGCCACTGTGATCGCCACTACCATGCTATACAGATACAGTTTATGAAAACAAACCAGTTCATTTGCCATACGCCAGTTAAAGTGGTATATATTCAATTTCNGAAAGCAACATTTCGTATCTGTTGCGTAAGTTGCATGCCTTGTCTCGAAATGTCGAACTGCTCCCTCATTCTACGCCAGTGCTGCCATGAAACCACGTAGCGTATGCTACGATGGCTATTAAATAATTTGTTGCGAAGTCTGTAACGCGTGATCACGTTCCGGAAACAATAATAATTATTGAGCCAGGATAGGGACTTGCTATGGGCTGGACAACCGATGTGTCGTAGTTAGAGTCCCAACAGAGTCAAGAATTTTCTCCACGTCGTCCAGATCGGCTTTGGGACCCAACCACGTATCCAATGGGTAGGGTCGTGTCATAGCTCAAGCGGTTAGTCGCGCGCTTCAACCGCGGCGACCCGAATTCGATCCCGGGTCTGGTCAAGTGGGATTTGTGGTGGACAAAGTGGTGCTGGGGCAGGTTTTCTCAGAGTACTTCGGTTTCCCCTGCCAATCCTAATTCCACCAATTTCTCCACAATCACCCTCACCTATCATCTGGGGCTGGTACAGTAAGCCAGAAGTGGCCGCAGTACAAGGGACATAGTCCCGCCCCACTAGTAATAAAAATAAAAGAAATCCAATGGGTACCGGGGATTAAGCTGCTGGGTCATGAAGCTTACCACTCACCTCCAACTAATTCAGGGGACACGAAAATGAGGATGTATACATCCACTCCCCCATACACCTTCACGACGTAGTGCTTATTAGTTAAGTACAGGGATTTTATTATTATTATATTGAATATACATTTCTATCAAAATTAATGTTAAGCAAAATGCGTAACAGTGACACTGAAAAATACGTCTTAAGCGACGCCGTCTGGCATTCCTGTTGGAATATCGCAGTTGCAGCGTCTTTGTTGGTCACACTGAAATCAATCTTCATTGTAGTCCTAATAGCATACCTACAGATTGTAATGTTGGAAAATATTACCAAACGAATTTGCCGAACCCCCACCCCCCAAACATCCTAAATCATCAGGAAACCTTAAATTGTTTCGTATTCCGTAATCAGCAGACTGAAAGATGGCGTGAATAGCTCTTGATCTGAAAAAGGGCTCTCTCACACCACACATTGGTAGCCCTGATTAAAGTAGGAAACAGCTGTCTCCACGAAACATGTAATCAGGCTACAATCAGGTATATATAGTTTAAAATGAATGAAATGAAGCTATTATTCCTAAATTCGGACGGCTGGGGTTTAAACTTAGAATACTCATTCAGATCTGTAGTTTTATTATTATCGTACCAACATAAAACATATTTAGCATCTCATTTTCACGAATTTTACCTTGCTTTGAAAATCTTTTGTAACATGGTAGGAGTCGATCAGACAGGATAGCATAGTCGTTATAGTGACTGACTACGGATTCGATAGAGGGGGTAAAGATTATTTCTTCACGTCGTCCAGACCGGTTGTTCAAGTAACCTCGTATACAACGTAATGTAGGGTTGGGAGGTGTCGGGGCCGTGCTGACCACTTACCTACAGCTTGTGCTAGGGTCAAAATGTGGATCTGAACATGCACTTAACCATACGGATACATGAGGGCTGCTTATGGGAACATTAACCTTCAATGATATAAAAATCACAGTCTGCTAAAGTCTGCCGAATAAATCAGGTTTTCATGCTATCTTCACAAATATTTGCATGCTTATTCATTTGTCTGGTCTTGTGATATACCATATCCAGAATTTTCTTCTGTAATTGTTATAATTTAACACATTACAATAAACAATGTACCTTTTCTCATTAACTACCTACTATCAACATCTGAAACTTTTCTTACATTTAGAAAAATAAAAGAGTACTTAAAAAAGTTAATCATTTAGTAATTGCATCTTGCCTCATTCCATATTCTAAGCTTTTTAAACAAATTATATAAATATCTAATTGCCTATTATTTAAAAAAAAAGTTCTTCTTAAAATTAAATTTCTAAATGATTGAGATTCTTCTAGCATACATAACAATGAACCACAGAAATTTCAAGTAAATAGCTTGATTAGTTTCTGAGAAAAGGTACTTATATCAGTAAAACTGAAGTTTCTGGGAAAACGCAAAAGCTCCCTCAAGCAGGAATTTAAATTCCTGATAAGGTGGACTTTAAATGCATCAGGGGGTGGGTAAAATTTTGAATTTCGCAAAAAAAAAAATTAAAGGGCGATTCTTTGAACTATCATTACTTTAAACACACAAACAAAAAATTTCAATTTTTTTTTTAAAGATTATGTTAACGCCCCCTTAATTAATCAGACTACCTTTTACATGTTATGAATCAGTTGGAGGAATGTTTCGATGCATGCATAACACACGATTAGCCAATTTCAATCCAAAGTTTAGGGGAGTCTGAAAATGGCATCATGAAGTACATTTCAGCCTACAATTTTCTGCAGTCTGGAAAAAATAAAATTTCTCAACGAACTGCTCCATAATTTCCATTTTCCATTATATTACAAATGTCAAAGGCTGGCTTGAACTTCACATATAGCCCATTTCTGTAGACCTGAACATGGACTGGAAGTTAAAATGACTCTTAAAAAAATAGGATTTGAAAGGTATGTATTGATCTGGCTCTCAATAGGTAGCAGGGCCAGGTTGTCAACACACCACTTACTGAGTGGCCAAGAAACAATTACATCAACTCAATGCAGTAACTGATTTAATTATTTAAGAGTAAAATAAAGTTGACAATATTTAGTATGAAATGTAGACATTATCACACAGACAAATTACCATTTATCTGTATTTCAATTCCTGTTTAACATTTTTGACATATTTACAGATGTGGTACCCCAGCTTTCTTGTTCACATAAAGAAAGTCTTGGACTGAGACATTTGGGACTATCACATTCCTCATACATGAAGGCTATAATGATCTTCCTGCAAGTCTGAAGACACTACAATCTTATGAATGAACGGCGTTCCTGTACAACCTGTCAGTGATAAATATTGCAGGGCATTCTCTGGCTTGCAGGTGTGCAGGAGAAAATTGTATGAAGTGGCAACACATACTACGAGCACAAGCATGAGGGATAGGAGGAAGGGGGGACCTAGCATTCACCTGTTCTGAGAGAGAATGAAATCGTAAAATATTTACATCAAAAACTAAAATTAAAATAAGATCTTGATATGGGCACCAACATGATGGATGGGAGGAAGGGGGAACCTGGAATTCATCTGTTTTATTTTTAAGACAATGAAATAATAAAATATATACATCAAAAACCAAAAATAAAATAAAATCTTGATATGGGCACAACCATGAGGGATAGGAGGAAGGGGGAACCTGCAATTCATCAGTTTTATTTTTAAGACAGAATGAAATTGTAAAACATTTACATCAAAAACTAAAATTAAAATAAAATCTTGATATGGGCACCAGCATGAGGGATGGGAGAAAGGGGTGACCTGGCATTCATCTGTTTTATTTCCAAGACAGAATGAAATTGTAAAACATTTACATCAAAAACTAAAACTAAAATGAAATCTTGATATGGGCACCAGCATCAGGGATGGGAGGAAGGGCGGGGGTGACCTGGCATTCATCTGTTTTAAGACAGAATGAAATTGTAAAAAATTTACATCAAAACTAAAATTAAAATAAAATATTGATATGGGGCACCAGCATGAGGTATGGGAGGAAGGGTGGGACCTGGCATTCATCTGTTTATTTCCAAGACAATGAAATTGTAGAACATTTACATCAAAAACTAAAACAAAATCTTGATATGGTCACCAACATCAGGGATGGGAGGAAGGGGGGGGGGTGACCTGGCATTCATCTGTTTTATTTTTAAGACAGAATGAAATTGTAAAAAAATTTACATCAAAACTAAACTTAAAATAAAATCTTGATATGGGGCACCAGCATGTTATGGGAGGAAGGGTGGGACCTGGCATTCATCTGTTTTATTCTTAAGACAGAATGAAATAATAATATACATCAAAAACTAAAACTAAAATAAAATCTTGATATGGGCACCAGCATCAGGGATGGGAGGAAGGGGTGACCTGGCATTCACATGTTTTATTTTTAAGATAGAATTACCTGGCATTCATCTGCTTTATTTTTGAGACAGAATGAATCAAAACACAACAAAAAATAAAATTAAAATAAAACCTTGATATGGGGCACCAGCATGAGGTATGGGAGGAAGGGTGGGACCTGGCATTCATCTGTTTTATTTTTAAGACAATGAAATAATAAAATACATCAAAACTAAAATAAAATAAAATCCTTCTATCTTAAATACTGTTGGATGTTAACTTCCCTCAATGGCATCACCCAGTCACTTGTGTGATCTTAAAATCAAGTCAGTTTGTTGAAAGGGATTTCTATACAGTAATAAAGTTTATAGTCTCACAACCTGGAGCAGAGCACTGAGTACTATGGCAGTAGCTAGATATAAAATTATTTTCAAGATTGCAGTCTTCTTCCAAAATGCAGATAAACACATGCTACATTACACATAGTGTTTACAGTCACTATTGTTAGGGCCTCAAACTCACAAATCCAGTAATAGGTTTACATACAATTTAGATATTCTGCTTATAATTTTTCTTCTATAGTTAGATTTTGAGTGATAGCGTAGTTGTTTGAGGCACTATGCTGCAAGCCGGAAGGTCACTGGATTTTTTTTTTCAGTTGACCTAATCCATCCAGCTGCACTATGGCCCCGGGGTGGACTCAGCCTCTAACAGAAATGAGTACCAGGAATTAAATAATCTTCCTGGGGAGTAAAGCACAGCTGGCGCATAAGGCTGACAACCTTACTGCCATCTTTGAGCAAAATGTCTGGAAAATGTGGGATCCTCATCTCAACCCTATGGGCCTTCAGGGTCTGTTACAGGGATAGCTTTACTTTTCACATTACATTCAAAACTCATGTACATATCCATACAAGTGGTTAACTTCATTTACCATACAAAATCTGTGATTTATTACTGTGGGGAGGGGAGTGTACATGTGTTAGTAAGACATTAAGTGACTGCTCTGTCAGGATGTTGCAAAAATGCGGAGACTGAAGACCACTTTACCTTGCCTCAGAATATAGCACAGTAGTCAAAGGGATTTTACATAGATAAAGACTGAAATACATACATCCCATGGCACTCAGTGTAACACGCTATATATGTGGTTAATTTCTTGTTAAATGAGTAAAAAGGACTAATACACTGCTGCCTTAAACATATTATTGTCTCCTGTAGGCACTAACACAGTTTTACTGTGCCATGACAACTCTCTCATGGAATTGGAGGGCTCACTTTCTTACTTCAAAAATTAACTGCTTTATGTCACAGAATATATGTTAGACTCTTTACAACACAGTGGTTACTACTTGTACTTCCTAATGGATTATCTAATGTCTCTTGCAATTTACCTATAGAGTATTTGCTTCATATTAATCTCACAATAAAAAGACATTGACTGATAGCTCTTTGTAATAGGGGTGCCACGATGTAACAATTTAGGTGGGCTCCAGGATTCAAAATTAGAAAACTCCTACGATATCTACCCCACTCTGCCTCGTTACATCAGATACAGCTACAGCTGCATATTTTGCATCTGAAGATTGTTGTGCACAACTGTGGATGATGCAGATAATCTTTAATCCTTACCTGCAACTGGAACTACAGCAGTCTTCTGACATCCCAGCACAGCATCTGAGTGAACACCTTCCAGGTTTCTGTGAAAAGTATAACAATGGACATTGTAGGAACATAGGATATCAGGACAGGCAAGAACTATGTGAGAGTGCTGCAGTCTAGCAGTCAACTTGTCCAAATTTTGAAACAATATTTCTGGCAAAATAGACAGACTTACACTCTGTGGGGTAAAATATCAGCTACTTGAATCATTGAAGTTAAAAAAAAAATTACTTTCATTAAAAATTATATTCTATATACAAAAAAAAAAAATCTTAATGCAAAATCTGGAGAAATTACATGCATTTCCTGTTGGAATGAGTACATTTATACTCAACTTAGAGAATATGTCTTACAAGTTGACAACTTTAGTGCAAATAAATACATATATCCGTACATTAAATTGCATGGAACGTGTATCCAAAAAGAATTGTAATTCATGAACAAACAAACAAACAAAAAAAAAACTTCGTAGACAAATGCAGCAAAATGGGCTAGTATGATGTAGGGCCTGTGGATATGATTAAGGAAATTGGGGGAACTTCATTAGAACTAATTTATTGAAATACAGACATGAAACATAAATTTCGTTTATGACACGAGTTTAAACAGGCATGTCTTCATCATGAAGGCAATATTAAACACTATCACCTAGGAAATATTATCTGTTTCAAGTAGGTAACAACAAATTGTACCACTGCAGATATCTTCGCCCAACTGCATAAGACGACCTACCTGTATATCTCATGGTCTCAGCTCTTGATCACATTCCCTCGTCATCCTCTCATATCCACACAGAAAACTCCCATGGTCTGTGGCAGCTGTTCTTGTCTCTGTGGAATCACAAGGTCCACTGCTATTACCATAGAATTCCAAAATTTGCATACACAACTGTTAGGTATTAATTAAAATTAAAGAATTGAATCATAAGTAAATATATTTTTATTCTTGAGAGATGGGATGGGATGGTATAGATTTGACTGATCTGGCTCAAGATAGGGACCAGTGGAGGGCTCTTCTGAACACAGTAACGAACCTTCAGGTTCCATAAAATTCTGGGAAATTCTCGAGTTGCTGCAGATATGGCTTCTCAAGAAGGGCTCAGCACTGTAACTATCTAACTGTGGGTAAAGCATTTATTTCTTACAAATGTAGACAGAAACTATCCCTAACTGCTCTGTAATGCAATAATCACTTGCAACTAAAACAATTTTCTTTAAGCAATGTAAAATAATCCGATTTACATGAAAACCATGAACAAGCATTGTAAATCATAACTTACAAATCGAAACCGAAAATTCGTTGAACAAACGGCTTACAGGTGGAGGAATCACACTTGTCTTGTGGAAGATAAAAAAAATTGTAAATGTGCCCAAGATTACGCCGTTTCAGAACACTTTCACACACCTTCCTTCTTCCTTAATTTAAAATTATCACTTTCTTTACACATTCATGACGTGTTACTTCGCACACAATGCATGAATATAAAAACACCAGTCACGATCACAGTCTAATTTGTATTTACTTTCAATGCAAGACCATCCACCAAAATGTTCCCACACGTAACGCCTTACCATGAGGATGAACATTACTACGAAATACACATTTCGAAAACATATTTATATACAACTAGGTTTTCACTCACTTCTCTCCCTTTTCAATTCAAAAATATTTCAAAAGTCTTAAAATTTTACATCAAAAACAAGAATTCATGTATCTTGTGTAACCTTTCCAGCTTCGTCTCGTAATGGCGGACTGCTGTACCTTGCTACGCTTATAGACCCAAGCAGTGGTCTTGAACTTACGTAACGTGCAAAACTCTACTTTGGAAATAATCTGTAGTTATTAAACTTAAACATCCATACGCCTAATTACATTAGAGAAACATTATAATTATTATTGCATATAAAATATTGCTTGATCCAATAAACATTAAATTCCGTAATTAAACTACGTACAAAGGGAAATACTACAAACGGTTAAAATGGCGCACCCTTGCAAAATATAACTTGGAGGAATGCCGTTGCAGTGTCTTTCTTGCTGATATTTATAAATAATACTTAATTCTATTCCGTACAACATACCTATTGTAAAGTTGAAAAACACTAACAGTATATCAAAAAGTGCCGTCCAACCTCCTTATATTATCACAAAGACTTGGATTGATTAATATTGCGTCTTCAGCTAATTAAAATATGGCGGTGTCTGGTCTTGCTCATCAGAAGAACGAACACAACTCTCCACATGTATCAATGCGCCAGGCGGGAAACTTGGCGCCAGACGGAAGTTTCCAGAATTTGTATGGATTTGCTCAACTCTAACAAACACAACTCTCCATTGATAATACACCAGGCGAACTAATTTTCGCCCGCGGAAACATACCAAAATTTGCACAAGTTATTACGAAGTTTATGGCGGGCAACGGAACTACGCCGGAAGTAGAGGGGCCTACATGATGCAACTAAAGTCATTTAATTTACTCTTCGATCACATAACCCAGTATTAATCCTGAAAGAAACTAGCAAAATCGTAATTTTTGTATATCAAATAAATATGCGATTTCTTTCAATTCAAGTGATTTCATGCCATTACCCTTAAATTCAAACACATGGGGTTCGAACTCAGGATAATTATTCAGGTCTGTCACTTTGCGTGGGAATATTAAGTAAAAGGTAAAATTCGTTCCTGTGCTTAACTAAATACGAATTACTCCATGAAGGCGTATGGAGGAGTGGAGGTACAGATTAACATTTTTTGGACTCAGCACTAGCTGGAGGTCAGCGGTCAGCTTCAAGCCCCAGCCGCTTTAACCTTGTGGAACAAGCCCTCGGTACCTGTTGGATAGGAGGTTGGGTGGACTCCAGAGCCGGTCTGGACGACGTGGAGAAGAGAAAATTCTTGACCCTACTGGGACTCGAACACTGACTCCCGGGTCGTCCAGCACGTAGCCAGTGGCTATACCGACTACACTGTCATGGCTCATCGATATGTAAATGTAATTATTTTTATGTTAAATACAATGGGCAGGTGACAGACTTGTTTCTCTCTCAAAAATGACATGTATATTCTTTGAATTGATACAAAGTTTTTACACCTCAAAATAAGTATAAAAATATTAAGATTTAGAGTCTTCTGGAACGTGACCAAGTTGTCTGGTATATAAGTTCTAATGTTTCAGAAGAACCTGCTACCTTCATCTTCACGGAAGCAGGATCAACAAAGCGACAGCAGGTTAATTTTGAACGTCCGTTCTTGCGTGCCAAACTACAAGGCATCATTTCACACATGACTTATATAGCAGCACACTCAAAAACGAAAAACAACTTATAGAGACACTCATGCAGCACACACAAATTGTATTATTACAAATCACCCAGGTAAAAAGAGGTTTAAATGCATCATCTCCTGTATACACCTACCTTTCTGGAAGTTCCTTCATGCACATGAGTTAAATATGGCTGTTCATCATTTGAAATTGATAAATTCATCTGCAGGCTACAAGCTGAGTAGAAAGGCTAATTCAATGCTGCATTAAATATCTCCTACAAATGTAGGTGGGAAGGGAAGGGAAGCCAAGATAGTTCAGTCAATACAGTGAATGCCTTTGGACTGGATGGCCAAGGAACAGGGGTTTGCTTCCTGGCAGTGGCAAGATATATCACTTTTGAACAAAATCCACACTGGCTTTGGAGCCCACTCAACCTTCTACCCTATGGGCGCTGAAAAATCTTTCCATGGGGTTAAAGTGGCAAGAGAATGAAGCTCACCACTAACCTCCATCAAGTAGAATATTGTGAATACTAGAGCTATATCTCCACTCCCCCAATATATTTTCAAGCTGTGGAGTGTCACTGATTAAGCATGGGGAAAGCTTGACCCCAATTGAATGAACAGATTTGTTAATATACTGTACCACAACAAAAGTTTTATGAAGTGGATTGCTGAACCATTTCTTCAAGAATTCACCTAAATTAAGACACTTTACTTTTTCTGTAAAAAAGGCAGGACGGTGGACATAGTAGGAAGAAATATATATAGAGAGAGGAGCAAGAACTGAGTATGTGTATGTGCGTGCGTGTGCTGCAATCTCATTCTGACATGATACCAAACAAATCACCATGTTTAAATTCTGAAATATTAATGTTTCTTATAAAATTCATTGACTATTTCTCTGTTATGTAAAATGAGATATACTTAAATCTTCAATGACAAATTTCAAAAAGCAAAATGTAATCTCTTTAAAACAGAGACATTTATATTCTTCTTTTAATTATAGAAGTGTTCACATATGCTTTAGAAGTAAAATATGGAGAAATATACTTTCTGTACAGATAAATATATTTATATTCTGTCAACATTAAAATTAAATTTCGAAAAATTGGACCTATCTCATTAAAGAAAATTAATTATATTCTTTTCACTTAATATGTATGTCCCAAAGGTTAATTTAAAAAAAAATATATACTTTCTCTACAAATGAATAGATTCACATTCTTTAAAGTTAAAAATGTGTGCATCTTAAAAGTCAAAACTAACAAATACATCACAAGTGAAGTACATCCAAATGCAACAGATGTGGTGGGTAGCACTGTGGCTCTGATTATGGGAACTGGGAGCACATTATTCCTTCCACAATATAAAAATGTTACGTGCTGTGAAATACGTAAGCAAGATAAAAGCTGGGGCCATGAGTTCAAGCAGAAATTTTTTAATAACTATGGAAATACCAAAGAGTAAAAATATCTAATAACATATTCAATACGTCTATGCATGCATATTGCCATTCCTAAGACTGTATAGTATTTAGACAATAAAAAGAAATGTAATTTCCCTTCTGTACAAATGAACAGACTAATATTCCTTGAAGTAAAAATTTTGTACTTACATTAAAAATAAGTCTTCACAATAAATTAATAACCCAACAGAAAATTGTTATTCTGGCAGAACAGGGGCAAATTTTTACACTAACAAGTAGCACAATGGCTATAATTTGGGTAGCCTGGAGCACATTATAATTTTGGAATAATAAAGTTACATTTGGTGAAATACGACAAATGTCTTGTATTGGAGCAGTTGAAACACAAATTGGGTTCCTCTAACACATTATTGAACTGCAACAGAATTTGAAGCAAGTTCTCTTGAAAGTAAATTCGAAAATGTATTTCTGAATACCTCTGCCCAACTGCAGAAGATATAATCATACCTGGACATTTATGGTCTCGGTTCTTCATCGAACTTCATCATCAGCTCATAAGACAAACATCCACGGTCTCCCCCAGCTCACCATAGCGACTGTCTGTGCAAGAAACAACAATACTGCTACTACCATAGGATTCTTAAGTCTGTATACACACAGCTACTTAGTATTTTTTAAATTCAAGACATCAATTAATAAATTTAAGTTCTTTGATGTGAAAAAAAAAATACTGAAATCTTATTAAATTTTTTCTAACAACTGTCCTATACATAAGATACTTTTATTTTCATTCTTCACTGGAAGTACGGTTGTTAAATGCATTCAAATCTGCCACTAGCACTAGGGTGGCACCACGTTGATTTCGGCAAAACGTGATGGAAAATTCTCACACAAACCCAAACTGAAGCCACTTATAAACACTTTCATACACCGTCTTTTCTACTGACAATACAAGAACCTATATTTTTTCACCTACACGTTTCTAACTTTCGGTATTTAGCACATTTACATACCATAGTTCAAACAACATCACATCGCTGATCATGCTATGACGTGGTTGGGGCGTAAATGTTGAATGAATGCATAAGGGGTGAACCTTTCCGGCACTTGCACTACGTCCTTCAATGTCCTCTTGTACTTTCACGTAAATGTTATTTAATCTACAATTTGACATTGCTGCAAAAAAGAAAAATGCCAGTCAACATCACCGTCTTCTAGTATCACTTACTTGCAATGCAAAAGCAGCAAGTTTGGACACACACAACGCCCATGTGCGGGGTCAGTTACAAAATTTACATTTCGGAACGTAAATATTATACAGCAGCCTGTGTTGCTATACAATTTCATGAATTTTTAAACTCGAAATATAACAACAAACCTTGTCATTTCACTTCAAGAACAAGAATTCACACCACTTACGTAAACTTTCTACTTTCGTCTCGTAATGGCGGACTTCTGCCCGACCTACGCTTGCACAGCAAATGTGGCCAGTGGCTCTTTCAGCTCATGCAGCGAGAGAAACTGTACCTCTCGATATCATCTCTATGTCTTAAACATCAACTCTCACCCTCGTAATTAATTACATTAAATAAATTTTAATTACTATTATCATTTGTTATTTAATATTATTTGATTCGATAAAAAATTAACGAAATTCGTAATTAAAACTACGTACAAAGGAAAGTAGTAAACAAGATTAATATGGCGTCGCCTTCTAAAATATTCCTTGCCTTAAAGCCGTTGCAGCGCCTTTATGGTTCACATTTAAATCATACTTATTTCTATTCCGTAAAACATACCTATTGTAAAGTTGAAAAACACTTAACAGTATATCAAAAAGTGCCGTCCAGCCTCCTTATATTATCACAAAGACATGGATTGTCTAATATTGCGTCTTCAACTAATTGAAATATGGCGGTGTCTGGTCTTGCTCATCAGAAGGATGAACAGAACTCTCCACATGTATCAATGCGCCAGGCGGACTACTTCGCGCCAAGCCGAAGCTTCCAGAATTTGTACGGATTTGCTCATCTCAAACAAACACGACTATTTACTGACATCAATCCAACAGGCGAACTACTTTGCGCCCGCGGAAACCTATCAAAATTTTTACAATTTATTACGCAGTTGATGGCGGGGAACGGAACTAAAGCCGGAAACAGCGGGGCCTACACGAAGCAACAGAACACATTTAATTTACTCTTTGATCACACAACCCATGTATTAATCATGCCACAACTAGCAAAATCATAATTTTTGTATGTCAAATAAATTAGCGATTTTTTTAATCAAGATATTTCATGCCATGGTCCTTAAATTCAGACTGAAGGGGTTCGAACTCAGGTCTGTTACGTGGTGTGGGAATATTAAGTAAAAGATAAAAGTCGTCCCTGTGCTTAACAAAATAAGCATTACCCCATAAAGGCGTATGGGGGAGTGGATGTACAGATTCACATTTTTTTATCTCAGCACTAGCTGGAGGAGAGCGGTCAGCTTCACACCCCAGCCGCTGTAAGCCCGTGGAACAAGCCCTCTCAGTACCTGTCGGGTGGACTCCAGAGTCTGTCTGGACGACGTGGATAAGAGAAAATTCTTGACTCTACCGGGACTCGAACACTGACTCCCCGGTCGTCCAGCCCGTAGCCAGTCGCTATACCGACTACGCTATCCTGGCTCATCGATATGAAAATGTAATTATTATCATTATTACTAAATCGATATGCCCCTTCAATGTATTTGAAATTGTTTATATCACATTTCTGGGGGAGGACAATTTTCACTGCCTGAAACCGCTGATGGATGGATTGAAATTGGATTGGACTGGATTGATTGATTGACTGATTAATGGATGGATGAACAACGAAGGGCTGGCCAGCATCCTTCCCTGGTGCTGTTTCAGTGTCGGATATTTTTCTCTGGCACCTACTTTAAAAGCAGTGAATGCATGCACAAACGAATTATACTATAGATATTACGAAATTTTCTGACTTCAGTGTATGAACACTCACGACTTCTCAGTTTTTGTACTTGTCCATCGTTCAGTATTCTAGGTAACGCAACACCCACTGACTGAAGACAGCTCATTAGCTCAATGTAACGGGACCAAAAAGCAGGTGTCTCCCACCCACTCACCTGATGACAGAAACAGATACAGCTCCCGAAACGATCTGTTCTTTATAACGCTGAAAATGTACATGGCCCCAAAACCAAGCAATCTCAGAATTTATATATAACTTAATTTCAGGCCTCGTCTGTTATAGGCCAATGACTCAGCCTCTACTAAGTGCGTATATCTTGTTAGTTCCTATCCTTCAATTTTCCGTTTGCAAGTTAAAACATGTCACTCAGTACGGCCAAGGAACGAGCTCGTATATGGCAATTTCCTTCAACCCGAATCTGCCTACCAGACATCCCAAGAATAGTTATTTTTAGCACTACACCCCTGTTCGCACGAATGTTACGTGAGAACTTTCCTACCGACCACAGCTTGTTGCTTGCAGATGCGAGTAACGCGATGCTAACAAGTGGCTACCCGGCCAACCGAGCGCGTATCCCTGCAAGGCAGACTGCTGACATGGCAGTATCTACTCGTACATGTTATCACATATCCAGGTCTCATCACCACCACCGCAGCTAACGTGAGAGACAATACTCGGTCGCTGTCTCTATACGTACTGTTAACTTCAGATGCGCCTTTTTAATATTGTAGGCTGGACATTTTCTGTTAACACGATACTACTGTAACAGTATCAAAACAAGTTAGGATGTGTACGCATAGCGAAACAATGACTGCAATTCGGCTCAGTTTTTTTACCTCTAAAATCTAAAAAATTGGGAAATTACGGGAACAGTTCTGTCACTCCTCTATACAGTTCGTGCTCTAATAAATATCAACAAATTACGATCAGGATGTTGGGGCACGCGGCAGCTCAGGTGCCTGAGGCAATATGCTACAAGCCGGAAGGTCGCCGGTTCGATTCCCGATGAGTTCTTTGGATTTCTGTTTCAGTAGACCTAATTCTTCCAGACACAATATGGCCTTGGGGTCGACTCAGCCTCTAACAGAAATGAGTACCGGGTATCTTCCTGGGGTAAAGAGTGGCCGGCGCGTAAGGCTTACAACCTTACCGCCATCTGTGAGCTGATTGCCTAGAGAATATGCGAGCCTCTACGGCTCCCAATCCTATGTACCCTCACTAACAAGAATAGCTTTACATTTAGCTCGAGATGTGCGCAAAAGCGCAAGGAGCTCTGGATGGTAAGTGTCCCCTGTTTTGGCAATATTTTAACCAAACTTGGAATGTGTATACTATAAATGTTAGTAAAACCTGTCCACATGAGAGTTATTGAAAATCGTTTTGCCTGTTCCCGAGTTGATACCCCCAGAAAGACAAACAGGACGAAGTTAAATGGGATTATCTAATAATAAAGGATACATTACATGATGCCCTACATGCGTTCTTACTGCATTTCAAGTAACTCAACAGATGATAATAGTAGCAAATCTGTCGTAGATTTTTTGTACAGAAAAACTCAGTGTACATTTTATACACAATATATAGCTTCCATGCGTCTCTCGGGTTTTGAGATAATTAAGCGGGAGTGAATGCGAAGAACTTTTATGCTATGCATACATTTCCTAACTTCTTCTTTCTCCCTTCTATCAAGTGTTCTTTCCATATTCAAAACCTACATAAATAACATTGTGCTGAAACTGACACTGCCAGAAAAATGGCCACCAAAGTGAGGAAGGGGTGAAGCAAAGCATCTGCACAACCCTCCCAAGTAGTCTGAGAGAAAAAATATAATACAAGAACCATTAACACAAAAAATAATTATTTTAAATACTGCACCAGCTATGTTCCAATACAGGGAACCAAAACTCTTTGGCCATTTGAAAGAATATTCTAAAATGACTTTCGCCTCAGGGGGGAAAAGAAAAGAAAATTGTAAGAATCAGTACTCTTTTTTTAAATAGCTCATGTGGCCTTAGTAAAGGCCAGCCATAATGTTTTTTAGTAAAGTAGCAGTTGTTGAACAAAAATATAACAGGGTTCTGCAGCTGAAGCAATAACTTTNATACACAATATATAGCTTCCATGCGTCTCTCGGGTTTTGAGATAATTAAGCGGGAGTGAATGCGAAGAACTTTTATGCTATGCATACATTTCCTAACTTCTTCTTTCTCCCTTCTATCAAGTGTTCTTTCCATATTCAAAACCTACATAAATAACATTGTGCTGAAACTGACACTGCCAGAAAAATGGCCACCAAAGTGAGGAAGGGGTGAAGCAAAGCATCTGCACAACCCTCCCAAGTAGTCTGAGAGAAAAAATATAATACAAGAACCATTAACACAAAAAATAATTATTTTAAATACTGCACCAGCTATGTTCCAATACAGGGAACCAAAACTCTTTGGCCATTTGAAAGAATATTCTAAAATGACTTTCGCCTCAGGGGGGAAAAGAAAAGAAAATTGTAAGAATCAGTACTCTTTTTTTAAATAGCTCATGTGGCCTTAGTAAAGGCCAGCCATAATGTTTTTTAGTAAAGTAGCAGTTGTTGAACAAAAATATAACAGGGTTCTGCAGCTGAAGCAATAACTTTAAATGGTATTTGATGAAGTCAGCGACTACAGCAAAGTTACTGAGAACATAATAAAGTAGAGGATCTGTATGCTCAATTTTCCAAATTGGAGGAGGATACTACTGTACATGTCTAAACGTGGTAACAGGTTTATATACAATTACACTGTTTTGAAAATGGCTGCCTCCCTCTGAAACTTCAACAAGAATCTGCTACACTACACATCATATTTATAATCAGCATTGTCATAGTCTAAAACCTCACAAATACAGATCAGTTGTCTCTACACAAGTCACTGAATCTCTTTTAAATTCTTCATAAATTTACATATCATATACGAGTAATCATTCGTAAGTGATTCGTATGTCATAAATTAAGAACGATGCATCATAGAAGTAGCATAATTTGACTTAACTACACAAATATGTGATTACAACCACAGTGGTGTGTCAGTCTGCAACTGACTGATATTTCTGGACATGTGTCATAAAAAAGACACTAAAACGCCACTGTACCTTATAACAGAATTTAGAACAACTTCTGATGCGTTTGTACCCATATGCACGTAGGGACAGTACACGCATTACATGGATATAAATCTGTACACTAGGGATTTCGCTATTTTTATGTTGTACATGTATATATGGAGATTTTTTCATAAGAGTGATCAGATGTGTGCACCTGAAAATGAGATTTTTTTTTTAAACCTAAGATGAGAAAAATCGTTCTCCCCAGTATCTATCCTTGAACAGTCACTATAGAATAAGTCAAGGTACAACAGGCTTTAAAAATAAAATTTAAGATTTAAGGGTCTTCTAACTATGAA